CATATCAGAAAACTATGGTCTATCAGAGTCACACAATTAGTAAGTGGAGGGGCCCCGATATCATGTTTGACTCCCCAAACACATGCATGTAGATCTCTTGATGTTGAAGATTCTCTGGTTGCCTCAGTGTCACTTCAGACGGTGAAAGACTACCCAGTTCCACAAGACAATTCTTCTTTACAAGTGAAGATTTTAATTCTGGAATCACAGTGTGCCACATATGCAAACTAGGTAACATAATTAGCTAAGAAACGGAGTTCCAAGAAATGTTGAAATAGGCTTGAAGTTATGCACTTTGGAATGTTGAAGCACAGGCAGAAACATAAAGCAGGCGGCGACTGCAGGAAGGAATCTCACTTGCAAGCTATTTCTGTATGGTCACAACTCTCCAGGCAGCCAGGTCCCCCCTTCCCTTAAGTACAAATCTGTTGCTCCCGTCTTTTCTGAGGACTCAGAATCAAAAGTCAGGCTGTTGTGCTAGAGCAAACCAAGGAAGAGGAAGTTGCAGTAGTTAGGAAAGGCGGCAGCTCTGGGGAGCATTTATCCGCCATTCCTGTCTGGCTCTCTTCCTCTCTCTCCCACACCAAGAGTTTTCTCTCTTTTTTACCGTCCCTCTGCTTCTCTCTGTGGAGAGGCGTCTCTGCCTTTTCTGTCCTCTCCGTGGCCTGATTCATAATTCCTGCCCTCTTGCTTGCATGTGGCCTCGGCTTACAATGACTCTTCTGGATGCACCTGCCAGTGCTTCCTGTGAGCTTCAACTCTGCTATTAATCCTCTCACTTTTCCAGTTTTCCAGTTCTCAAGGAATCACACTGATTTGCCCAACTCATCTTTTCAAAACGTAGGTCCTAAGGTGTGGGTCAGGGGTTGCCATATTTTGGCTGTCTTTGTGTCAGGTGTCTGACCCCATTTGTTTGTATTTTGGGTATTTAGGAGTGGAGGCACATGATATAAAACATGGCCACTGCCTTCTTAGAGGTTACTGGACAGGGAAATTTCCCATGGAAGACACTATGAGAACTTGGTGGAACTTTCTGTATTGGCAGTCTACTTTGCTCAAACTTCTGTACTGCACTGTAAACTATAATCTAAAGGGATTTCCACATGTCAATGGTACATAAAAGAGTGTGCAAGGCTCTCTGAGGGAAGTAATTCTCTTTCCTATTACTGAACATAATACTACCTGCTATGTAGCGTTAATGCAATTTTAACAATAACAGCAATAAAAGCAACCACAAAATAAATGCCATTCTTGGTCTCTTATTATATGCCACACACTTCACATACATTATTAATAATTCTTCCAATAGCTCTAAAGGATGGATACAAACATCCCTATTTTACAGAAGAAGTGATAGAGGTTCAGGAAGCTTAAGTAACTGGTCCAAGGTTACATAGCAAATAAGTGGTAAATACTCAGGTAACTCTGATTCCAAAACCTACATTTCTTTACTGCATTATGCTGACAAGATATTTTTTTTAATAGTCAAATATATTTAAAAGAAATTAAAATGAGAATAGTAGCCATCTATATTTATGCAGACATTCATCTTCTCTGTATCTCTTCATTCATTCCTGAAGTTTCAAGTGAACTCTGGTGTCATCTCCCTTCAACATAAAGAAATTCCCTTAGCATTTTTTTGTAGGGCAGGTCTGCTGGTGACAAATTCTACGTTTTCCTCCTTGAGAAATGGCTTTATTTCACCTTCGTCCCTCAAAGATATTTTCACTGGAAGCAGAATTTTAGGCTACTAGTCTTTTCTTTTGGCACCTTGAAGATGTGGTTCCACTGTCTTCTGGCTTCCATCATTTCTGATGAGAAACTTGAAGCCTTTGGAGTTGTTCCTCCATATTTAATATGTCATTTCCCCTCCCTGCCACCCCTGGCTGCTTTCAAGACTTTTTCTTTGTGGTTTTCAGTAATTTTATTATTATGTGTCTGGGCTGGTTTCTTTGTGTTTATCCTCTTTGGAGTTTGTTGAGTTTCTTATATCTGTAAACTTGTCTTTCACCAAATTTGGGAAATTTTCAGGCATTATTTCTATGAATGTTCTTTCTGCATCAATATCTTTTGCCTCTGCTTTAGGGACTCCAATGTCACAAATGTTGAGATCTTTTGATAATGTCCCCAAGTCTCTGAGACTCTAGTCAGTATTGTTTTCAATCTCTTTTCTTTCTGTTGTTCAGATTGGATAAATTCTCTTCCTCTATCTTAAAGTTCACTTGCTCTTTCTTCTCTCATCTCTTTTCTGCTATTGAGCTCACGTAATGGACTTTTGAATTTCAGATATTATATTTTTCAATTCTAAAATTTCAATTTAGTTCTTTTTTTATAGATGCTATTTTTCTTCTGAGAATTTCTATCTTTCTATTTACTTCAAGAGTGTTCACTTTAGTTCATAAAAAATGGTTCTAATAGCTGATTTAAAGTCTGTCTGATAATTCACACATCTGAATCATCTTTGGGTTGGCATCTGCTGATTGCTTATTCCTTTGAGAATTGGTTTTGAGATTTTTGTGGTTGTTGGTATATCAAGTAATTTTGGATTGTATCCTGGGCATTTTGAATATTACATTGTCAGACTCTGCATACTGTTAAAATTCTTTAGAGAATCTTATTGTTTTGTTGTTTGAACAGGCAATCAACCTGCATCTTCTGTCTTTTCCTTCTGTGGTAGTAGTTTCAATGTCAATTCAGTTTTTGAAGCCTTTGCTATGCTATTTAGGTCTGCCTTGGGCATGCACCACTCAGGGCTTGCTCTGGTACTCGGATGGTTTTTATACCATCATTTGATTCTCAAAGCCTTTACCGTACTTCTCTCGGCATTTTCTACACATGTGTAACTTGGGGAGTGAGCTCATTACTTGTGTAGATTCAAACACAGAATTAGAGATTCTCTTCTCCAGCTCTCTCTCACCTGTGGGATTTCCCCCACACTCTCTGGCTTCTAGGGCCCCTTTTTCCAGTTTCTCTGGCAGGAGTTATTGGGTCCTCTTGGAGTTTTGGCCTCCTGTGCTGTGGCACGGTTCCATGCAGTTGCACTACAGTGCAAAGCAGCAAGAGAAAAGAGAAAATGTATCAGATTGATGGCCCCACTCTTTGCACAATGGGAGTCCCTTTCTGTGATTCTTCTATCCAAAGAATTGGATCACCTTTCAGCATCTTAAATGCCCCTGCCTCTGCTGGGGTGGGAGTGCACACCTACTTTTGAGGCTGGCCTTGAGGCGGGACTAGGAGAATAAAAAGAGAAAGATAAACATGACAATTTTCTCCATACTGTGGCTTGCAGGGGCCCCCTTTCCTGCTTTTCTAGCCAGAATGATGACTGTAAGTGGGGATCTTTTGCTGTTTACATCTTTTACAAAGTTCCCAGTTTGGCTTGCCTTCAGGCCAAATCCAGAAAGAGAAAAAAAGGAAAAACCTAGAAAACTCTTTGTAGTTGAGTTGATCTTTCTTTAAGGTTTGACTTCCTTTCTTAATCCACGTGTTTTGTTTACTTTTCAGAATCCTCAGAGAGTTGTTTGCCATATTTGTCCAGTTTTAGTGTGATCAGAGGAGCGATAGAATGGGTTCCTATTCTCCGGACTGCCTCTTATGAGTGCTTATACCCCTGGCACTTTCCACAGAACCTGCCATGTGGTAGGCAACGAAGTAAATGAGGTGAATGAAAACATGAAGTGGAAAGCTTGCCAATTATCTAGTAAACTCTAGTAGGACTGGGATGGGAAATATTTGGCTGATAGTCTGTCACTCTTACTTTCCACACTCAAAGCTGATCAATACTTTACTGCTCTGCTCCCTGCAGAGCCTGAATACAACCACAGAATACACTCTAACGCAGCAAACCTGGAAGTCACTGCCAAATGAACAGCTTTGGTCCATGAGGTGAAAACCTCCCCTTTATTCCTGTCTTCGAGACTTAGTTATCCACACAAAAATTCAGCCTTCCTTTCCCATTTAACTGCAGTGACCCCTCTCTGCAAATCTCCATCATCCCATCCTCTTTTCTCTCTTTGAGATTCCAGTTGATTGACATATTTTTTCTGTGCCAGGCGGGCTTCTTGAGAAAAATCATTCTTTGCTTTCTTATAAAGTTTCTGTAGTTTCATAAAAAATTGTAATTTGACTAATATATTTCACTACGCTTTCCCTCATTTACACCAAAAGGAATTTATTTTAGTGTTTAGCCTTTGGGAAATGATGAATTTGTTTAATAGATCGGTAATTATCCTGTTCAAAAATGATCATTAGAATTCCTCTTTATTTGATTACTATATATCACCAAACCCACAACCCATTTATCACCAGCTGCGTCCATTAATTCAGCCTTGCTGGTCCTTGACTAAGAGACCGCTCTGTATACTTCTCATTTTGAATCTTTTTAAGAACAAATATCAATAGAAAGTAGCTTAAATATATCTGATTTAAAATCTCAGTCTGTACGAAGCTTTTTTTTGGTTTTGCTTGCCATTTTTATTACCTTAAGACTATTTTCCAATGGAGTCACAATCTAAATAAAAGTATACTTTTTTGTTATGGAATTGGGGTGATTATTATCAGCTTCTAAGGGGTCACTGCATGATCTGAGCAGGAAGTAAGAGACAGTGTCTGTAGATGTGAATGTCTTTTCATGTATATTTGATATGAAACACCTATACGTGACCCAACTGCATACTTACTCAAGAGGACTCTTTCTAGAACTTTAGATGTTGCCATTTCTAAAATGGAAAATCTGGTGAAAAATGAGCTCCCAGAGCATATTAAGCATGTGTGTGGTGCAAATACCGAGCGTGAGTTGATTGAAGGTTGACGTCATTGAGTCCGAAGTCCTCTGGTAAGAGTTTCTTGTAAAGATAACTCAGGACCCATAGCTTGGGATGCCGTCTAGCAGTGCAATGGCTGGAATTAGAAAAACGAAGAGGAAAGAAACTGTGTGACGGTCTGCTGTGTGCGCAATCTAATTGCGTTGTTCTTTTTTCCTTTTCTCCTGGGGTCTCCAGTTTACCGTGGTTTCTGGGCAGTCCTGATGCTTCTGGGGGTAGTTGCTGTGGTGACCGCGAGCTTTTTGATCATCTGTGCAGCCCCCTTCGCCAGCCATTTCCTCTACAAAGCCGGTGGAGGCTCATATATTGCTGCAGGTATGTATAAGGCAAAGGGTATGATTTCCAGCTGTGTTTTTTTTTCCTTTCTCCATATCCTCATACTTTCCATTTCCAGTGTCAGATATCAGGCTTCTAGTAGGAGTAACACAATGATATTCATATACAGCATTTCTTGAGAGCTAACCACGTCAGATGCTTTTCCAGGGTCTTTCCGTTTCCCATGTGCTAACACACTTACCCAGCACGCGGTGTTCGCTCACGGTATCCACATTATATGAAAGAAGACACTGGAAGGGAAAGTTCTGCTGCAGGAGCCTTTCCATCTCTTACCTGTTAATTTTCTATCTTGGAGGTCATGACATGTCTCTCCGTAACGTCAGGATATGGCTGAAATTTTTTGTGTGCTCTTAAAAGATAGCCCCATGAAGACGTTACAGACCGTCATGATTTATTTATCACGGGTAAAAAGCATCTTTTTCTACATCACCATTCAATTTTCTTAATTGTGGTTCATGTGCATTATCTAAACACATTCTCTTCTTTGTAAAACCTGAATTTATTTTAGTCAGCTTTCCCACCAGTCTTTCTAATTCCTGCTAAAATGGTCATAGTACAAATAGAAAAATAATTGAATAGGTGAGTCTTGTGAATTTTAAGACTGTTTCATTTTATTAGGAAGTGAAAGCCAGAACATTAACCTGAAAACATAAGTGCAAGGTTATTTGTAAAGATAACACTTCTAGAAAATTAGACAAACTTCAATATGACCAAGACCAAACCATACGTGACTGCACTGTATTGTAACATCGGATGAGAAAGACAGTGTTTCTACTTGAGATTATAGTGACAATAAAGGAAAGGAACAGAATGGATAGCTTTGTTGTCTTTATAACCGTTTCAAAGACAGTTTATGATGTTGCCCATCATCCCTTAATCAATGGTCCATTAACAAACAGTTCCTTTAAATGTTCTTTTTGCGTAATATGGCGCTTAATTCTGTAGAGGGAATAAAAAAATAATCAGATATGGATCCTCTGCTCAAAGTGCTAAAAAAACCCGCTCTGAGAACAAGAGTACTATTTAACCTATTCCGTCTTTCTTTTTGTCTTTTATTTCAACTCTTGTCTTCACTGGTTTTTCAAGCGCCTTTATCAAAGGCTTGGATTTACTCATTTGAGCTCATAATTTTTTTAATAACTTAAAAAAATTGGGGTATAATTCACATACCACAAGATATACCATTTTAAAGTATATAATGCAGTGTGTTTTAGTACATTTACAGAGTTGTGCAAATATCACCACTATCTTATTCTAGAATATTTTTATCACCCCACAAAGAAACCTCATCTTCTCCCCACATCTCCTCTCTCCAGCTCTGAGAACCACTAATCTACTTTTGGTCTCTGTGGGTTTGGCTATTCTAGCTATTTCATATAAATGGAATCACACAATATGTGGCCTTTGTGTCTGGCTCCTTTCACTTAGATCTCATAATTTATGACCTCTCTTCTTTAATTCATAATTCCATAAGCCCGAACCCCTTATATGCCTTAAAACTAAGCATCTTCTTTGCCAAATATTTTTTCTCCCCTAAACCACATTCTCCCCTCGCTTCAGGCAAAGGTCTAGTTAGGGTGCATATTTTTCCATGATCTTGCCAGAAATAACAGCTCTCTGCAAAAATGTGTGACTATTTCTTCTCATTCCTTGATTTTCTTTTTTAATCTTTGTCAACAAAAGGAATATGTAATAGCAGTAGTTTACTACTCACACATTATGGGTAGCATGATTGTTTTAAACTCGGAAACTCTCTGATCCTGTGTTTGGTCTTATTAGAGAATTGTGTGTGTGTTTAGTGCTTTTGAAAAAAAAACCGTTGTTCATTTTTCCATTGAAAATATATTGAGGGCCAGCCCCGTGGCTTAACGGTTAAGTGCGTGCGCTCCGCTGTTGGTGGCCCGGGCCTGGATCCCGGGCGTGCACCGACGCACCGCTTCTTCGGCCATGCTGAGGCCGCGTCCCACATACAGCAACTAGAAGGATATGCAACTATGACATACAACTATCTACTGGGGCTTTGGGGAAAAAAAGGAGGAAGATTGGCAATAGATGTTAGCTCAGAGCCGGTCTTCCTCAGCAAAAAGAGGAGGATTAGCATGGATGTTATCTCAGGGCTGATCTTCCTCACAAAAAAAAAAAAAGAAAATATATTGAATTTATAATTTGTGTTGAATTTGTTGAATTTATAGTTTGTATGAGAAAGTAGTATATACAAAGAATTGCATTTGGCTGAGAACTCTGTAGGGAGATCAAGCATTTGATACATACTCATATGTCTGCTACCAGTGGATTTTCTTTTTTTAGTGAATCTTTTGCTGGTGTGGGTATAAAGCTCGATCATCCTTGCTCAGGTCTTAATGCAAAAGCCTGCTTGAGATTAAGAGGTGTCTAAGGTGTTCTGGGAGCCTATTCTAAAAGCCACTAAACTAGACAATTATGAGGAGACTGCCTTTCAAATTTAACTTTTTTTTTTTCTTAGTGAGGAAGATTGGCCCTGAGCTCACCTCTGTTGCCAATCTTCCCCTTTTTGCTGGGGAAGATTGGCCCTGAGCTAACATCTCTGCCCATGTTTCTCTATTTTATATGTGGGATGCCGCCACTGCATTGCTTGATGACTGGTGCATAGGTCCGCTCTCAGGATCCAAACCTGCAAACCCCGGGCCACTGAAGAGGAATGCATGAACTTAATCACTACACCACTGGGCTGGCCCCCAAATTTGACTTTTAATTTCCTTCATGGCACAATTCATTATTGTTTGTGTAAGACTGTTTGTTTCCCAAGAACAGAGAGAAATATTCTGTTGGATGAGATAGAATATTGCTATTCATTTTATCAGTTCAGGTAGGAGAAGTGGTGTTCTCAGAAATAACTAAAGTTTACTGTTCAGTAGCAATTTCTGCCATAAGACACAATCTTTTAAGACAGTTATGGGGCCAATAAGTCATCCGTAAAGTTGAGTACTTATTCACAGAAGAATTTTTAAAATCTTAGAATTCTCTATTATTAACATTCCCACATAATGTTAATAGGCAACTTATCTTTTCACAGTTGAAGATGGAAATTTATGTGCCATGCTATACAAAGTTGAGAAAAATCTGGAGTAAACACTAGGTCTGTCGACCAGCCGAGGTTTTTCTGTGCCACATTTAATATGGAGCTGTGCATATAGTCACTTACTGAGTTAAATTGAATTGAATTTATAATGCTTTGGTTAGATTCTATATTTTCAAAATGCAGAGAACTCATTCCATGCGCCTAGTATTCCAAAATCTCTTTCGTCTTAGGGGTCGCCCCATCATTCCCCTCCTACCCGAGTCACGATGCTGCCCTATGCCAACACGCTGTGCTCTGCCCGGCAGTTAGGAACAGGTGCTGCTTGGGCCCCTGGTGGCTGTGGCTGCTTTATCAATGCCACAAAAGAGATTGGACATGCTTTATTTGGACAGATGGCCTTAGGGGTAAGGCAGAACCAAATTCTAAATGGCCACTGCTGGGTGTGTGCATGTAGAAAGACTCTCTGGCATCGGCAAGAAGTCTGTTTTTGGGCATTCCACACGTGGCTGAAGCGCGCTGATGTCACAGCTGTTGGTGTGAGGAAGGAGTGGGGGCCATGGTGTTCCTCTTGCTCTGTGAACAGGCTCAGAGCAGGGCTTGGAGGGGGTGTGTTGCCCCTTCGTGCACTTGGGCAGACCTCAGACCAGCCAGGCCATGTGTTCCCTCTGGAAGATCAGTTCTGGACCAAGTGTATGGGAATCGTCAGGACATTATGACTCCAAGCCTATATTTCAGTGAATCTCACCACACGTCTCCACAGTGCCTAAACGGTTGCTGAAATTTGTTGTAATATGGACTCCCAGAGAACTCTGAGATGCAAAGGGGCCGACACCTGTCTTCTCTTATCCCTGAGATAGTGGAGGTGAGAGGAGAGATGCAGAGAGAGTTAGAGTGGGTAGGCATGACATTATTAAACATTTGAGTTATGTGGAGAAAATTATCATACAGCTGAATATTCCTAATGCCTGGGCAGAGCGACATCAACACAGGAATTGCTGTGCATGAGTAAGTCCTCTAAGTGCACGAGAAGGAATAACGATGTGGTGTGGATGTTCTGGGACACTGGCATTGAGTGATAAGCTATAAAAACTAGAAATCGGTATTTTACCAGCATATCACAGTAGAAAGATTTTTCTTCCACAATGGAAATCCCCTTTTCCTGAATGACAAACTGGGGCTACATTTTTCTGCTGAATGTAGATCTAGATAGAATCTCACCTAGGTAGAGGTGCCCGAAAAGCTTCTGAATCTTGGCTAAATCTCTTGCTAGACCCTGAAGTTGGTGAGACTGCATAGACATCTTGTAAGTCAGAGGACTGTGGTGGCTTTATTATAGGCCCTGGAGGTATTACTGGGAGGAAAGGATACCTCTGTAGTGTGATCAGTCCTTGGGAGCGTGATGGACGCCAAGTGGCCGCTTGACTCCTGCCCCGTTCTGTGACCACAGGGTGTGCTCCTCGCCTGGAGAGCTGTTTCCCAAGCTGCTGTTGGTCACCAGGGGTATGAGCCGAGTGACGTGGGGTGAGCTGTGTAAGTCCTCTGCCATGTGGGTCATGCAGCACGTCTCTGCATGGCTTACTCCTCCTCCCTTCCTGTCTGGAGGACCTTGCTTTCTAAAAGTGTAGCACTGTGAAAAGTAGTTTTTTAAGAAAGCAGTGTAGGAAAGGTAAGTGGATATGAAGGGAATATGAAATTCTCATATCTAGAAGGTAATACTGAATCAGAAGGAAGTCAGGTTTGTAGTTTGTTTTCCTTTTCCTTTCAAAAGGTCAATGGTATTTATAGTAGCTCACCAGTTCACCACATTTATTTCTACACGAGACAAGAGATACGAAGAATGCAGAATACAAGAGACTTTTTTGTTTTTTGCCTTAATCCTAGAAAACAATAGCTAACAGAAGCGAAGGAACGTATTTCAGAC